GAGGGAAGGCCCAGCAGGCAGCGCCGAGGCTGAGGCGCTGGAGCCCTTGGCCGACTTCGCAGCCTGAATTCTGGACCGGGAGGCTTGAAGACCACACCGGTGTGTGTGTCCAAAATCCTGGGAGGAGAGTGGAGAAGGGCCTGTGCCTGGCCATCTCCCTGGGGGTGGTCTCTCACTCTCCCTCACTCTAACTCTCCAACAAGGGCCTGCACCCCATGGTGGAAACTTAGAAGAAAAAAAGAAAATGTGCACAGTATCTTTACCAAGATGGCCAATAATTCTGTGAGGGGCCCGACGGGCTGGAGAGACAGGGAAGAGCTGCAGCCTGACCTCGCCCCACTGGGGTGCCTTCTCCCTCCTCTCTCTAGCAAATGCATACCCTCCGTTATGGGCAGGAGCGCTCATCAGAGGCCCCGGGGGGGAAGGAAGGACCCCCCACCACCCCAGGATGGCCGTGCTGCAGTCCCTTCTCCATCCACCCTCTCGGGGCATTGCACACGTGCATGTGAGCCCGATACGGCTTTTAAGATGCCCGGTCTGGGGCTCACCCCAGGGCTGGCCATGTGGGAGCCCAGCACCTTAACCAGGAGGCCACCTGCTGGCCCGTCGAGTTTAGAAAGTTGTCAAAGTTTCAGGCACGTATGCATTCCTGAATGTGCCCTGAAGACAACCCCGGTGAAAGTCGACGCGCTCAGGAAGGGTACAGTGGAGACAGACCCGCTCACAAAGGGGTTTTGTCCTTTGTCCCTTCAGCTGCTGAGACCGTGGCCAGATCAGCCCTTTCATGCATGTCTGGACAAGGGCCAGGAGGGGCCAGCTGGCAGCGTGATGCTGAAGGGGCTGGCACGTGTGGCTGACTGGAGGGTCGAGTCCAGGACTCAGCAGCTTGCAAACAGCCAGGTGCGAGACCCAGGCAGGAGGGAGAGATGGAGGAGGGGTTGCAACTTTCCCTTCCCCGTCTCTCCTCTGTGAGTGCGTGTGCCCTCTGGCAAATTAAAAACACAAACAATAGGGACCAGCAGTTGGCATATTGGCTATGTCGCTGGACTCCCACGAAGTCGACCATGGTTCGCGTCCCGGACCCGATGGCTTAAAACTCACACCGGGTGCATGTGCGTGCGTGCCCAAGATCCCGAGAGGAGAATGGAGGAGAAGGGATTGCGGCGTGACCATCCCACCTGGGGGGTGATTTCTCACTTTCTGTCTGTCTTTCTCCGTCTGTCTGGTGAGCGCACGCGCCCTATAGCGAAAATCTCTCAAAAAAACAAAAACAAAAACAAAACAAAAAAACACAAGACAACGTGGGGTGGATCGTTCCAGAGAGTAACTTACCAGATAACTAAACCTTTAAAACACCTTTAAAACGTTCCTAGCGGGGAGCAGAGGGTGGCGTAAGGGCCGTCGCTGGACTCCCATGTAGTTGATTGTAGTTGAGTCCCAGACCCAGCAGCCTAAATCACGCCGGGTGTGTGTGCGTGCATGTCCACAATTCTGAGAGGAGAATGGAGAAGGGATTGTGACGCGGCCATGCCCCTGGGGGGTGACTTCTCACTGTCACTGTCCCTCCAGTAAGCGCACATGCCCTCTAAAAAGAAAGAAAATACTCTCTTTCTAGAAAAAAAGTTCCTAGCAAAGATACCCTGACCTGTTCATCCAGTGAAGGCTTAAAGGACAGTACTGACTGCGGGGGAGGACAGAGGGGCAGCAGGCCATGGGTCTGACTGCAGGGGAGGGGGGACAGCAGGCCACGGGTCTCTGACTACAGGGGGGGGACAGCAGGCCACGGGTCTGAC